ACATCTGCTTTTTCGGTTCTTCCTTTCCCCTCCCCTTTTCGGATTCGGCAGAGAGGAGCCCGGCTCCTGCCCACTCTGCCCCAGCCCTTGCTTTCCTCCCGCAGTGCCCTTTCCCCTCTTCATGTCTCTGTTGCCACAGAGAGCCTCTCTCTTTTTTTTAACGCCCTCACTTAGTTTGCCCAGCGCAGGGGACCAAGCCCTCTCCTTGCTGGTAGAGCCGCCTAGGAAGCTATTTCAGACCCCAGCCCCTCCCTGCCCTTCCCAAGCACCGTTGCTCCCTGCAGCCTTGGGCTGTCCTGCCTCTATCTGGTTCTCGTGCTGTCACAGCCGCGTGCGCTGGGTTGCACGCGCCAGGCCTTGAAGACGCTGAGCCCTCGGAGGCAAGTGGTTTGTTCGCCGTGCTTGTCTCTGGCAGGGCACGTCTCCGTTTTGCCGCCCTCCTCACCTGCACCAGGCCACAGGGACAAGGCAGGAGCAGCCAGGGCTCCTCTCTGCTGTCTTGTCCCTGCCCAGACCTGCTCAGCCCATCCGTGGCAGGCGGCCCTTGGTGGCCCTGGCACGTGACACAGCACTGCCCGTGCTCCAGGGGTAGTGCTGCACATGTTGGCCTTCTGGCTGGTCTAAGCTGGCCCCGGGCTGGGAATCTTTTGTGTTTCCTCAGACTTCGATGTTTGCTTGGAGTCCGGCTGGGACTGCAGTACAGGTGCGTTTACATTTTAAAGCAACTAGGAATGTGAAGTACAGCATTTCTGCTAAGGGGGTTGGAGCAGTGTTGCAAGACAGTGTTGTAATGCGCTCAGCCGTCTGCCCCGTCTACTGCCTAAGAAGCAGCCAACATAGACACGTGGAGATGGAGAGATTGCTCCCCGAGGGAAAGCCTAAGTGGCCTGCTCTGCTCAGGACTCTGAGAGGGAAGGATGAGGGGGACATCGGTGATGCATGCCTGTTTTGCTTGCCGCTCTCATCGCTTTGTGCATTGGCCGGCCAGGGTTCACGGAGGAGCCCAGTGCCACAGGAATAGCCAGCGGCAGCGCGCAGGCAAGGAGCCAGCCGGGCTCTCCAAGCCCCTGAGTCTGAGCGCAAGCTAGGGCAGGACTTACGCCCTTCCTGAGCGGCAGTGAAATGATGGATGATGGTCAACTGCACTTGGCTCTAAGTACTAACTCTTGACCAGCGCTGGCAGGTCTATTTTACCTGGACTTTTCCAGAGTACAGTCCCCGCGATGACGGCTGTGCCTTCTCAGACCCTTGCACTCACAGTGCGTAAGGTCGGGATCGGATTCTGTTAACATCAGGGATAAAACTAAAGTCCTGTTCCTCATCACCCTTGAGAAGGATAGGTTGTGTGAAGAGATCTTCCACAGTGCTTCTACAGAGACAACCTTTGTTTTTTTTTAATGGAAAAGTTGAAACTGCTTCCTTGCGCTAGTAGTCACATAAATCCTGCCAGCGCAATGAACAAAACTCTGCGAGGTACAGCCTGAGTGTCTGGCTTTCAAGGGGAAGCTGCCGTCCACAAGACAGAAGTGGACGGAAAGCAGAACTCAGTTGAATAAAAGAAGCATTTACAGTGCTTATTGAAGTTACATATTAGTTATTGTAATCGGTTCTCTAAGAGGTGCTGGCAAATGGGAAATCTTCAAGGGTAAGATACTAGCAGAATGCATGATAAGTGATTTATGAAACCTAGGGAGAGGGACAGGAGCATAAAGGTGAGTGATGTTAGAAGAGCCAGGCAAACCCGTATCTACAGGTACTTCATGCCTTGATTTGTCTTGGTAACAAATAACAGGGTGTCATGTTGACTGATGCTGATTGTAACAGGAGAATTACTTGCTTGCAGCTCTTTTAGGGTCTTAAGCTATTTTTCCTCTCCTACATGAGATCGCTGATACCTGACCATTGTGAAAAGGTCAGCAGGGCGTTTAATGATACTCTGGGTAGAAGGTGAAATTTAAGTTTGGCCAGGGTGACAAAAGTCCAACTTAGCCATTGTGACAGTCAGCAGAAGTTAGACATTAGGCTAGTCCAAACAGTGGGTCTGCTGACAGGCCCCAAGGCCTGCGAGGAGATCACGTCTAGCAAACAGTGTGGAAATGGGAATCCATAAACCAGAAGCGTTTGTTGGAGACTAAACCTGATTCAGTAACAAAATCAGGGCCTGGGCCAGGAAAACCACGAATTCTAATATACCGAACAGGTGGCTGCTGGCATGAATTTGTCAGTTCTCTGCTAAGAGCAGGTGCTCAACCATTCCTTTTCCAGAAAGGAGGCTGCCCCCGCCCCGCCCCGCCGCCCCAGTCCTGATGTACTTCTGACTGAACTCCGCAAATCTTTCCTTCGCTGCCTCCTGCAGACCCGCATGCACCATGTGCAAGCTTTTGAAACAATTCTGCTTCGGATTTTCTGTTCCCTTTTCAATCCTGCTTCTCTAAAACTGCTGAGGCTAAAATAAAGAAGTTACTACACCTTTCTTAAAAAAAAAAAAAAAAAAGCATTGTAAACACTCTTCAAACCTGCATTGCAAAATTCACTCTGGA